AGCCTCGAACTTACATAACCAGAATCCCATCAACAGGTTATAATAGAGGCTTTTTGTGCATGAACTCTTCTTATATGAAGAAGAGTGTTTTCAAGGTTCCGTGAGTGAGCCCAGATGTTACTCTATCGTTACCTCCACCGCTGTTTCTTGATCTGGCCTCTTGCTAGCTGGGTTACTTTCTACCTCCGAAACGGCCCTACATCTCTGTTGGGTGGGGTGGCTCCTACAGCCAAAATGTGTTGAGCAACTTTTTCCTGAATTAAGATAAATCCTCTAATTGCCTGTCTTATGCAAATGGGATGTGCCAATGGGATGTAAGGAATGACTCATAGGCCATTTCTTCATTGTATTGCATCTACAAATGCCGGGTGTGAGTGGAGTGCTTGGCGCAACTCGCAGATGATGATCACTGCGTTCGATTTCACCCGCAGTTTTGCAACTAAATGGCAATATAGAAAAGCTGTGAATTCTCTCCTCGTTCACTTTCACCGGCTACCTCTTTGGCTTTATCATCGATCTTTGGCAGCTGTTTCCTAGATGGGTATTATTCGCATTAAAATGAGTTACTCCCGAGAACAACTCCCGAGAACGAATCGATCAGACTAGATGGTCTAATATGAGAGTGAGACGTGGGAACCCTCGGGTAGTTGAATAGCCCGAGAGATGTTGTTGCTTATTCTTAGCTAATACATAATTTAACACAGGAACTGCAATGGGTTGAGTCCATTACGCTATTCTCCCATTGTTTATTTACATGTAATTCACTTTTTTAAGCATATTACCATTGACGCAGTAAAGCTCAACAGTTGAAAGGAGATAGTCAGAAAAGTTACCGAGGCGGCGCTAATTCTAGATTGAGCCATATGAGTTGATTCTTAGAAAACATGGTTTCCGCTTATTTTCCTCTAACAAGACAGTTAATGACCTGTTTCCCAATCAAAGCCCTATACAAGTATCAATTGTATTACCTGTACCCCACTTATCCTAGCAATTTCAGCCAGTAAGTCGGCTTTGAGCCACCTATCCTGGTCCTGTGCACGTCGTCTTCGTTGTTGACCGCCCACATCCACCATCTGTCGGCCTACCTCATCTGGGCCTTCCCTATGCTGGCTTGACATCTAACAGGATTCAAGTCAAGAGCTGGAAAGACCACCGGTTATCTTTATGACCAGCCTAACCTCGTTGGTTAGCCCTATACTCAGATATAGAGTTCAGGTTGCTGTGGATAACATCCAGGAAGGCTCAAGCCAGCTGAGAATGCCGTGGCATTCAGCATGTTCCCACCAGTACTTGAGAGGCGGCTCTTTGGTCTATTGGACTTAGGCTACGGCAAGTTCCAGCCACAAGTTGCCGATGATTCTTTTGTTCCCACACGTTCGTTGTCGTCGCAGCAGCTCACAAAGCTTATTGTTCCCGAGGAGTCTGAGACAGGATAAGTTGCAATTCGCTTATCTCAGCAATATTTGATGATCCCAGGAAGCTGAACCGGGAACCGCTCCGCTGAGCTCCGTATCAGATGTCTTCTGGATTATTTATGATCTGCCATGCGTCGCCGCTGCTCCTTGCTCTGGGTTATTTTCAATAAAAAGGGCTTTTCCCGCATGGGCCNTTTTCTATGGTTGACTTCAGATCGACTGGGGACCGTTTGAAGATGGTTTATTCCCATGTCACAGTTCCGGGAGTCATTTCTGGGAAAAGGGGAACAAAGTTTAGCCCATCCTTCCATCTATAGAAAGATATAATGCTATCTTAGCTAGTATTTTTTGTAAAATAAAAGGACTTATTGAAGATAGGGTTTCCTTGATTGCCATTACTTTCCCAGGAGAGTTTCGTATTCCTATTACGGATTTATGACAAATTGCACTGTGCAGTCAAAGGCGGTGACAGGTTGTCCAAGTTCAGACGGCATGTTCCCGACGTCCCCATAAGCTCTGGAGGCTTTAAGGGACTCCCATGTTGAAAGAAACATTGAGCATGGGAAAACGAGCTGAAAAAAGGAAGGGTAGAGGTAAAAATGCGAAATTGCTCGGCAACGATGGTTTTTCCCTTCCTCAATTGAAGACCGAATATGAGTTCCATTGGTAGGTAGAAAACAGGATTGCCCAGCTCTGTTTTGTGCTCATTCGAAGGAATGTCTGGGAAACTCGCGGGTTACTTTACCCATACCTTGGAAAGGACCAACTGCCATCAAGAATCATTGTTTCCATTACATCGAAGTGAACCCGGCGTCAGTCAGTAGCCTTAGAGAGGAAGAGTCCTTTATTTGCATGAAAGAGCACCCTGATAGGATTCGATATCCGATCCGGGTCCGTAGGGATGTGACTCTCTGGGATTCTTATTTTGGCCCTCATTCAAATTTCCGTAAACAGTGCTTTTTTGGAGAATTAACCTTCCATCTGAACCAGTACGTTACTTCATCTACGAGCACACCACCGACTAAAGGGTAAAGAAAGTAAGTTTGGGGAGCAGATTGGTGAAGAAGGAACGAAATTATCTCCGGCCAAGCCTCCTTGAATGATCCAAGCATTTTCTTCTCATTTGCAAGCTCATATTCACTTAACCCTTTTTTGCAGTCATTTTTGATGCCGGTCGGTATGTGAATGGGTACGAAATCTTCATAGGCAACCTTCTTAGAAAGAAAACCAATCCCACATACCTATCAGTTCTATGTATTACTTATCTAGCGCCTCTTCCGATATGTTGGACCATTCATTCGTCATGCCGGTCATGATTATGAAGAGCAATAAAGCCGGAGACGAAGCTCTTTCATTGGATAATCCGATGATAGTACCACAATCTCAGGGAAACCCTACAACGTTAGGGAGCCTTTCCATGAGGGCTCATCGGTGACTAAGTCAAACATCTTGTTGTATCACTGCTGCTGCATCTCCATGTTTATCCTACTTCCTCCCTTTCCAATCTCACCTCCCC